TGGTCTTAGACTTTTGTCCAGTACTGTGTGTGTGTGTGTGTGTGTGTGTGTGTGTGTGTGTGTGTGTGTGTATATATATATATATATATATATATATATATATATATATATATATATATATATATATATATTTGGGTGGCCCTTAAAACAACTTTTTTGAGAAAAACCTGCTCCCACCCTCTAAATATGTTCTATCTAATACAAAAACACTTGGTTTATAATTTTTTTTGAATAAAAAATTATTTTGAGGGGACCCTCAAGACTCTTAAACATTTAATGGGTCCCTAATATTTTCAAAAAAATTTTTTCCAAAAATATGTCAACCTGGTACTCAAATGAAGCGAAATTATATAAAAATTTCAAAAATAATATTCATTTTGAAAAAAATTGTTACTTTTGGTTTTATTACTTAAAAAAGTACATTTTTTAACAAAAAATGAAAAAAAATGCATTTTTTAAATTTTTTTATGATAATTTTTATAAATAAGTTAAAATCTCTAATAAAAATATAGGTTTGCAAACTATCAAAGAACTATATATTTTCTTCTTTATTAATAAATATAATTCATTCACTTTAATAAAAATTCCTAGGTGATTAAAAAAAAAAAAAAAAAAAAAAAAAAAAAAAAAAAAAAAAAAAAAAAAAGGAGAAATTAAGGAGTACAGTCAAATTTTAACTTTTTTAAAGGTTATTTTAGGACATTTAAGGAGGTTTTTATTTTTTAAGGATTTAAGGTTTTTAAGTATTTCAGGTGTATAAAGTTTATCTCCAACTAATTATTTGATCCCATAACTGAAACATGTTGCATAACTACATCTTTTTTTTTATTAATTTTTAAAGAGCTTAAAAAACGAAGAAAAAATCTCAAACTTAGACCAGGTGTCAACAATTATGATTCGATTTACTGTTAAGCTAGAAATGTGACACTTAATCCCATAACGAAATGTTTCAAAGGGAAGATTTTCATAAATTTTAAGTACAAAAAAAGGTATTCCATTAAAAAATTGCAAAGATTGTATAACAACATAGCCATCAACCATAAACGATATAACTGGATATTAGTGATCACTGCTTCTAAATTTGTTTTTAATGTCACAAAAAGTAGCTTTATCCCTTTTAAAAAATGTATCTAGCTCATCATCTAATGTACTTTTAATGCCACTTAAAGAACTTTTAGTAGTTTTTTCAGTTGGATTAGCAGTTGGAATTTGAGATAAAAGTATTCCCAGCCAAACAGAAGGATGATTTTTTGTCGACATTTTCCTCTATGCACTATAACTGTATCAAAATTTGGAGGCCAGTGTAACTCACAGATAACAGTATACTTGGTAACAACCAAATTAGAGTTTGGAATAGCTTTTATCCATTTTTCACGCTCAATGTTATCACTTGGAAACTGATATACTGCTATTTTATTAACTTTACTAGATATTTTGTTTTTTTCACCTTGATAGTTGGTGTGACAAGCATACACACAACATTTATTTGGCATGACGATTTAATCTAAATTTTATAAATATATTATTCGCTTTCAATTAAACCTGCACCTCCATGTTTAAATTATATAAGTTTATTAACATTGTATTATACTCCATTATTTAATTATACATCATAAACGACATGACATTGTATCTGGTCTGAACGTGGACAAATAATTTTTTTGCCGTAAAAAAGTAGGCCTCCACAAAAAAATCTGGTTGCGTGATGAAGAGGCCTGTAGTAGAGAACGCTATGGCATTGACTGAAAAAGTTAATAAACAAATATATTGCAAAAATATATTTAAATTTTTATTTACAATAAATGGAAATCTGGAATAGCTAAAAGTTGAAAGAAATATGAAAAAGATAATTCCTGAATGAAATGATTTTTAAAGTCAATGAAGCTAAAACATTTTAAAATTTGTTTTTAGAGTTTAAAATGAAGTTATGTTACTGTACCATGATAGTTACCATAATTTATAACTTTGATTATGTAAGTATTTAATCTTGACTGAAATCTCCTTCAAATCTTTAAAGTTGCCCATTGAATACTTGCAACAATGATAGTAATGTAGTTGACTACAATGTTAAACAAGATTTCTTTATTATACTTTCCTTTTAACCTTTAACTAATTATTATTTATCATTAATTCTTTTACTTTTATTTTCAGTTACTTTTACAAGGGCAAAATAATTTTTAAATAGGAAAAACAATAAAATGGAAAAAAATTTTCTTCCAAGAAATAAAGCTTAAAATAAATTTTACAAATAAAGCAAAATTAATTTTTTTTGTTTTATTTGTTTTTATTTTTATAAATTTCATAAATTATTAAAAACTACAAAAACGGTAAAACTCAAGGGGATGATTAAATAACAATACATAACAGTAATGAAAAAAAAAAAAAGTAAAAAAAGGTCTGGGAAAAAAACTTTTTTATTAAATTTAAAGTTTGATTTGGTATTGTAGACCAAGAAACTTGAACTTGATTAATATAATCATTGTCTTTAACATAAATTTTTGATATTTTACAATGACTGAAGAAACAAATCATTAAATAAAAAAAAAAATGATCAGAGAATATTTTCAAAGAATTTAAAATATTTTCCTAATAATTTTGTAACTAATCATATAATATAGTATGGAGCAAGTGTAAATCTTGGTGTTCATTTAGGTTTAGGAGCTTTATTAAAGTTAGACTCTCCGTGGCTTCAAGTAATCCATTGTTTTAACCACTGTCTTGAGCTTGCCTTAAAAATTCTTTTAAAAGATTGCAGCATTTGAAAATTGCAAAACCTTCTTGTTAAATATACATTCTCTTTATGAACTCTCCAAAATGTTTAAGAGAATTAAAACTTATATCAGAAGCTTGGGGAACATCAGTTCCCATGCTAACGAAATCATACAGTACATGTTGGCTTGACCATAAATGGAACCCATTGAATCGAATATGTCGCATATATTAGGCATATAGAATCTCTCAGTCATACAGATTCTCAGACTTTAAAATGAGCTGAATTAGAAGAGTTTTTTAAATGGTGGAAAAAAAGTCTTTTGTGATCCATATGTCTGTTTATTTAGACATTTTGGCTCGATTGAGACGCTAAAGGATTGCATTCTACCAAGATTTACACGTTTTAGTCAAAAGAGTCCATAGGGTACAGCAATTTAATTGTACAATGGCAAAACTTTGAATAATCTTGACTAATGTAATGGACAAAATGTATACTATTTTATTTAACTACAAAAAATTAATTGGCAATTAACTGAAAAGGATGGTAACTTTGCATATCAAAAAAATATTACAAAAATTTTATAAATCCAATGTTGGTGCAACATCATCATAGTGATACTAAAACTATTATTAAAACTTGTATGGATTTGCATTTTAAAAATATAACTTTTTTTCCTTCATCACAAAATTTAATTGTTTTGCTTGATGTATCTTCTTGGCCCATTCTAGTACCCTAATAGTACATTTGGAGATTAAGAACAATGGAAATAGTGATATATTTTATCGACCTTTTAAAAAATGGAGGATGCGATACCACTAAAATTAGTATCGAGTGAACTACCCTAAAAAGTTATATTTTCCCGATGTTAAAAAATTCAGAAGCTAAAAATTAATTACATACTTAAAAAAAAAAATTTTCGGAAGATAAGATTAACCCTCTAAGGTCAGAAGGTGGAAATCGCTAGTGTTAAATAAAATATACAATTGAAATATACTAATTAGGGTCCAGTAATAGACAATACACATTTTTTCAATATATAAAGGTGATTGGTACCATGGAAACTGAAGTGGGACTAATATGTGCGGTCAGGCAATAAAAGCTTTTTTTTAAAATTATTTTTCTTTATGTAATTACTACATAAAGAAAAAACAAAATGTTTGTTATTGAATACATTTCAATTAAATTTATCTAAATGTTATGTTATTTCGAATATTTCACTTGTTATGTTTTTTATGCACAAAAAACATAACAAGTGGTGCATTTAAAATGTGGTCTTGACTCAATCTTTTTTTTGAGCAAACTTTACATCTTCCATGGTTAGTTACATAAAAAGGCCAATGAATGCCTTGATTTTCTCCTCTAATTGACAAAGGTACTAAATAATAAGACTTGTGGCCTTTTAAAATTAACAATTTTAATAGCAGATTTATGGAATCCTATATTAAAATTGAAAATTTCAATAGCATCAATAATAGCATCTTGCTCAATAACGGAATCAAAAACAGATTCAATTCTACTGATAACACCAGAAGAAAGATCTTGTAGTAAAATTATTTCAGCAGTTATTATTACATTAGTATTAAATTTGTAACATTTGTATTAAATTTGTAATAAAATTTAAATTTTATTACAAATTTAATACAAATGTTACAAATTTAATACTAATGTAAATATCATTATTTGAATTTAGTTTGTCTGCTGTTGAAATATGGTTTTAGCTTTTTAAATTTTTATGAATTCAAATTTACCTGATTGAGCATTAGTAACAATATAGAACAAAATTGAGTTCAATACAATTAAGATAAATATAACTTTAAATAATGGCTTAATTTTTTTTGAGCTGGCTTTTGATGCTAATTTTCATGTTATTGCTATTTTGTGTAATAATTTTTAATAACGCTCTCACAAACAGGATGTTCTAACTATTTTTATGACACCTCACAAAATAAACCTTGCCTATTGAAAAACTAATACAAATTTAGTGCATCCTACAGGTATATGTTCTGGATTATTGGATATCATTAATGGATTCCACCATTAATGATAAAATAATCATCAGCTCATTTACTAAACTATTAAGTTTTAAATGACACCGCAACCAATAATCACATGTTTTATGAGACTAGTAATGATATCTAACTCTAAAACTTCTACCATCTTTTTAAACTTATTTTTAGGAATTAAAAAACAAGATAGGAAGGAAAATGCCAGATAAACTTATAAAAACGTTTGTAATAAAAAATATTTAAAATAAAAACATTTTTGAAATCAATTTTTTTATACCAACCTTTCTCTCCAACAAATGGTATTGACCAAGTAAAAACATCCATGAAGTTTGGTAACCAATAAGGATGAGGAGTACAATTAAATTGTCGTATATTCATAACATTATTTTCATATTTTAAGACGGCAGCTAAAGACACAATTTCAAAACATTTTGACAAAAAATAAAAAACAATATAAGCAATATATATATATATATATATATATATATATATATATATATATATATATATATATATATATATATATATATATATATATATATATATATATATATATATATATATATTATAGACACACACACACAAGGTCTTCTCAGGAGCAGTCGCATGTCTAATATAACCATGGATATTTTTTTTTTTGATAATATGGCCACAGCTTTATGCAAGCTTTAAAACCTGAACTTTTAAAAAATGCGCTAGTTAAACAAATGTTTAAAACTGAACTAAAAAAAAATTAAAATTTTAATGTATAATAAAATTAAGATAAACCAAAAAAAATAAAATTAATGTCTTTATTTTAACTTAAAAAGTGTTTCACTTCATAGAATTTAGAAAAGACTGAAGTTTCAAAGTTATTTTATCCCAGCTTAATTACTTTGAAACTTAATAATTTGAAACTTTGATATTTTCTAATGTCTACTAAGAAAATGAAACATCCATCACTAGAATTTGGACCCTCATCCAATATTGAACTAACAGTCAGCACATATATATAACAATTCCAGCTAGATTTTTTTCTTTTTGATCAATTCGATTCTGGCTGTAATTAAACTTTTTTTTTTATTACATGTGACACAGGTTGTGTAAATAAATCAAAAAATCATTATCCTATCGAGCAATGAAGAACTATAGGTAAACCGAGGTAAAAAATACAAATGGTATTTTGGCAAATGTATTTGCAGTACTACTATTTCTGAAAATAAACTTACATTTGTATTTTTAACCTAGGTTTACCTATAGTTCTTCATTTCTCAATAGGATAATTATTTTTTAATTTATTTACACAGGCTGTATCACATGTCTTAAAAAAAAAGTAAAAATAAAGTTAAATTACAGCTAGAAGCGAATTGATCAAAAAGAAAAAAAAAATCCGGCTGGAAATCCGGTACATCCCTAATAACAATTAGTCAATCTTAGCACTACACTAACTAGCGATATAGGTAAAATTATCAACTTTAAACCATGAAATTAAATTTAAACTAAATTAATAATAATAATAGGTTTGAACTAATAGTTGAGACTCTTAAATAAAAAAATATATTATTTTTATATTTAATTTTCATTAGTTTATCCTTTATTTATTTTATCATTCGTTAAGTTTGTTTCTCTTTTCAGTTTATGGTTTGTTTATTTTTATTTTTCTCATAAGTTGTTTTTTTTCATCAGATTTTTTAAATGTGCAAATCAATAAAATATGCAAAAAAAACATGGTCAAATTGTAAAGTAAAATAAAAAATGTATGCATGGTCATGGGGCTATTCTAGGAAAAAAATTTGGGGTGCGGTATCCCCCCTCATCAATTTAGTTTATTTCACCAAGGTTCCAGAAGGGACCATTACAGTTAAAGAGACTAGTCAATAAAAATTTTTTTTTTTTTAATGTTCAACTTTTTATTAACTCTAAACTCTGAAACATGAACCATGTTAAACAAAGCTACTATGCAGAAAAACTGGTTTAACGCAGTTCTTCACAGAGGCATAAGCAGTACTTACATAAAGGCGTAAAGTGGATTTTAACCTTGAACCTCTTGATTGTAAGCCAGTATTTTTTAAAAATTAGTTCACTGAAAAAAAGATTTTGGAAAAATTTCATAATTTTAAGCTATGATTGCCATTTTAAATTTCACAATTTAAAATGCTGGGTCATTTTTGCAATCAATTTTATTGGTTTATAAAGTATATTTTAGCTCATTAATGTCTCTGTAAGGTCATTTTGAAAATGTAAATATAAACTTTCAAAATAAATATAACAAATATTGTGTCAAAAATAACAAAAATCATGTTATTTAAAAAAATTAGGGATCAACAAATTTTTTTTTGAAAAACATTGATGTTCATTTCAATGTTTATTGGTGAATATTATCTTCAGCCTTCTCTATTTGTAATTTACCGCAAACATTTTAAAGCACCTTTAAAACTTAATTTTTAATTGCTATTTAAATTTGGTATCTAATTTCTAAATAAAATATTTAAAATGAAAACGAAAAAAGTAAATTTTTTTTTTTAATTTTAACGTATTTATTAAAATAAAAATGGAAAATCAAATGTTTTTTTAAAATTCTAAATAAAATATTTAAAAGATAATGACTAAATGCTTTAAAAAATTACTTATTGCTTATAAAAAAAAAAAATTATTAACTTATTTATAATTTTTATTCAAAACCTTTTTTTTTTTTTTTTTTTTCAAAATGAACAAAGTTAATTTAATGAATTAAAAGGTAGATTGAAAAGAAAACAAACAAACAATTTGTTATGATTAAAAAATGCTAGTACTTTTATTGTGAGCATTTTAAATAAGGTAAATATACTGACTAAAACAGAGAATAATGTGTTTGTATCGAGTGAAAAAATTTTAATTAAACAAAATAGTCATGCACGTTTGTGAAAACTGCTAGCAGAATGTTTAAGCTGGTTTCTTTCCATATCTTTAAAACAAAAAATGTTATTTAATGTAAAATAAATATGCAACATAACTAAAAATGTTTAGCAAACACATGAAAAAGATCTAGAATTGGTCCCTGGAAATTGAAAAGAACTAGAATTGGTCCCTGGAAATTTTATTATAAATTGTTTTTCAAAGTAAAAAATATAATATATTAAAAATTCTTAAAAAAACAAAAACATACAACTTGTAAATAAAACATTAACCAACCTTTATTATTATAAACATCTAAATAATTTGGTGCAGAGAATATAGTTATGAGAGAAGGAAAGCCAGTAGCCTGACTTTTTCTATACATACGATACCTAAAATATAAACTAAAATGTGAAAATGGGAAAAAATATTTGTCCTAAATAATTAACATCTAGAATTTACATTTATACAATGTTAAAACAATTCACATTAACATGTATACAAATCTTTTATATAGTTATAAAACATAATAACAAATAAAAACAACAGGATATTTCACACCCAAAACTAACAGAGTTAAAACAAGTTGAAGTCAGGACCAGTCAAAACAAACAAAAAGACATTAGTTTTATAGCAGCAATATTGTATATATTCTATATAGTGTAGTTCAAGATAACATAATCAAAGCATAATAAAATTAACATATTGATTTACTAGTTTTTCCTCATTTATTTCAACTCTTTTTGTTATATCCTATGAGGGTGCAGTTAAACTTGGATCAATAGTTTCAAGTCTGTAATATTTTCTAAACTCTGTGATAGCTCTTAAAAAGGCTGATTTAATATTTACACCATTTTGCAAGTACAGGTACTTAAACTGAAAATTATTCATAAATTACCAAATTAAGAAATACACAAAAGGAAAACAAACATGATGAAAAATTAGGACTTTTTCATTGATAAAATTACTAATAGAAAAAGGAAACCTATAGCCAATAAAAGAAAAATCTAAGATGTTACAGTAGCATCTAAAAGAAATTTCCTTTAAGTGATGCTTATGCTGAGCTTTACAAAGATATCAAGATAAATCTATACACGTTAATTATGAAGCTGTTTAAACTGTTGCTAGCAAAAACTGTTGCTAGCTAAAAAAGAGATTGCTAACAAAAACATATTGTTAGTAACAATTTGTTAGTAATTACAAAGTTGCTTAGGGTGCCAGGTAAAATCTATTTGAGTTAACTTTCTTAAATAAATTAAACCATGACTATAAAATATTATATATGAAAAACTTTTGTCACCACCAACTTTTTTTAATTTTTTTTAAATACTTGTGATTCTCAAACTAATTTACCCATCAAATCTTACCTTACAAATTTAACCAACTTGTAGATCTATAAGACATTTGTAAGACTTGAATTAAACTGTTTCATCTTCATATCTTTGTGTTGATAGCTGTTATTCTCTAAAAGACTACAACATGTGAAATGCTTGACCTGAGAATAAACTATGTATTACAAATCAATGTATTATGTATCAATATATCAATTGGTTGTGAAATCAGGTTTTTACTATGTGACTATTTCTTTATGCACTTTCATTTAACAACAACATCTGGAAAATGTCAGTAACAATCTGAAAAGGTTTGTAGTTTTAGTTGAAGCTCTTATTCTCCATTTTAGTGTGATTTTTAAGTCTTTAAAATATACACGTTTTTTTGACGCAATTAACCGATTATATTTTATTCTAGTTTAATTATAAAGAGTTAAAGTATTTTTGTTGTAAAAATTTTATAAGAAATCTAGAAATTCTTTTAAAAAAATGTTTTTTCATAAACTACTAAACAATTTATTTTCTATTTTTCATAAAATTTGCATTAAAAATATAAATAAAACTTTTTCGATATTTTAAACTTGTTTATTGGTATAAATTGATTTTGTGTTATATTTAATGTTATTACATGATTATTATCTTCATTGTTTAACCATATAAAAGTATAACAGCATTTATTTTGTTGGACACACATACTTTTAAAATTCTTATTTAGTCATGTGAGAATATATTTAATGAAATTTATTTTTATATATTTCGATGTTTCTAAAAAGAAAAAACCCTACCATGACCTTATTTTTTATACTGAAACTCTTATAAAGTAAACAACCTTGAATAAATTATAAAGTCTGTAGATTGAGTTTAAAAAAGCGCAAATATTTTAAAGACTTTAAAACCACACTAATATGAAGAGGCTTTTACTAAAACTACGAAGTTAGTTTTTTATGGTAAATTTTTAATATTTTGCTTTACTCAAAAATATTTAGCCTAAATATATTTTTTCAACATTCCTTTTAATATAAAGAAAACTTGTCTCAGTGTTTTGGGATCAATAAAAACTCATTACTGTTTGACTGGTTAAAAAAAGCAGCCTATTTAAAATGTGATCTTTGCCTTGTGACAGTTAAAGGGCTGCAATAACTAAACTATGTTATAGTATATAACATAAATGATTCTATATTGATGACAACATTCTTACTGATTGTTTTGTCATTGCGCTAATGACCTCTACATTGTGGCTTCTTGAATTATCTCACACAAATCTCCTTTCACGGAAACAATCCAAAAAATTAGGAATTTTTATCATTTTCTTTACTACAGACACCTACTTCAAGATGAAATTGATAAACAACTTTTGTTTCTTAATTATATCTTGAAGTGGTGTAATGCAGTGTTTTAATGCAGCTAAGGGTTACTTTAGTGTTTATTTTTACAACAAGAGATTTTTCGTAGCAAAATGGCACTCTTCTATGGCATAAAATATGAAACTACGACTATAAAGGCTGTTTAAAAAATTAAAATTTCAAAATGATTAGCCAATCATTAATAAACAATAACATAAAATATTATGCAGAAATTTCTGAGCATCCTCAACAAACTTAAATATTGTTAACTATATTCATCATCATAAAAAGGAATTCTATACTTCATATTTTTTGCAATTTGGCAAACTTGTTTATTTCTAAATAGAACATTGAATTACCTTCAAAAAATTCTCAATGTTTCTTAGATTCTGAGATCTGACCTTTAAGCTATCCTATATAAGCCAATTTAGGTTGCAGCTTAATGGCCCATATCTTATTCATCACAGAACCAAAACAAAAATAGATTTCTTCATTTTTATTAAAAACTTTATCAGAAATGACAAATTTTACAAAGTAAGTAAGAATGAATTTGTCCTGAAACATGCATACGTAAATATGTTTAAACTATTTGTTTTTAAAAACTTATGATAATCTAAAACCAGTGTAAAACTGTTAAATTCTTACCCAGCATCCTGAGCTTCGTGTGCACGAATTATAGAGAGCAAATTATTTCTTTGAAGAAAATCACAGCAAGCTTGATAACTAAATTAAATCTTATTTTTTAAATAAAATCCAGTGTTCTTGATCTTTTACAAATTTTCTAAAGATCAAATTTTGTTGACTAAAACAATATCTTAAATCTTTAAAACTAAACAACCATTATGAATAATTTAAAAAACTTAAAAAGTGCAGAACTTTAAACCTACCTATAGAAATAGGAGCAGCCCCTAACACTATTATGAGAAAAATGTTCCATTGTCTTTTCGTTTCCATAATCTTCAAGAGGATCAGACCATAATAAATCACACATTGCTCCAAAAGCAGGTGGTTCTCGAAAACGATCTACTTTTCGAATATCGTCTAATGTATGCAACTCGGGAGATAAGCCACCATGGACACATAGAAATTGTTGATTCATAACAGCAGCAAGGGGCAAGCAATCAAATGATTCCATGCATGCTTCGTATACAGCTTCAGAGTATTTAATTTTACCTGTAACAAGAAGCCATCACAGACATAACATTTTTTAATTTTATTAACTTACCTGCGAAATCACGAAGAAAAACTGCTCACCCATCAACAGACATAATGTTTTGAACATTGTGAAAGTTTAATTGTTTTTTTAATACTTTAAACTTTAAAAATAAAGATAATCTTTTTGACTTACATTCAGTTTTGAAAGTAAAATATTCCGTAAGATGACGACATTCATGATTTCCACGTAATAAAAATAATGTTTTTGGATAAATAGATTTTAAAGCCCATAAATACATTACACACTAAAACAAAATAAGATTAACAATATAAAAAATAATGAAATAATAGACAAATAAAAAAGCTAATATTAGAAACTTTTGTTATCATTAATACAAAATTAAAACTACTTTGGAGAAAACATTGTCAATAATAAAAACTTACTTCAATTGAAAAATAGCCTCTATCTACATAATCACCAAGAAATAAATATCGAGTACTAGCTGGACTTCCACCAACTTCAAACAATTTCATAAGATCATAAAACTGACCATGGATATCTCCACATACTTAAATAACCAACCAAAAATGTAGTAAAAAAATTTATTATTTTATTAACAAAACACTTTTTTCCTTAAAGTTAAATAAGAATGTTAAAAGCTTACACAACAAGACGTAAATTAGGCGATTGCTGTGAAATCTGGAAATATTTCTGGTAACTTTAAGTTTATTAAAAACTACTGTTTTAATGAAAGACTCGACTTATCACGCTCGCCCACAAAAACTTTGGCTAGTGCATAAAAAAATGCTTTCCAATAAAATAAAAGCTTTTTTATTTTAAATTGCAACAAAACTTTTTTGATTATTTTTTTAACTTTTATGAAATATTTATATATGAATTATATGAAACATGTGAAATATGAAATATTTATTACCAGTTTTTTTTTTAAATTATTTTATCTAGTATTTATTCAAATCATTTTCGCAATTTTTATTCTAATTTAAACAGCAGGAAAAAAATGAATTTTTAATAATAATTTAAAAAATATATAAATCGTGCAGGCTAACTTAAAAAATGATCATCCTGCCAGCGCTTTTTTATGTGCTGGCATTAAATTTCAAACGGAGAAGAATGATAATGAAAAGGGCAAAAGAATAAATTAATGATTTTAACTTATTGTTAAACAATAAGTTAAATAAACAATGTTTATTTAAACACCATTTAATTAGTGTATTATAAATTAAAAAAAATAAAGTTATACAAAAATAATAATTTTTAAAAGTCGGAAAATTATGCTTGGAAAAATTAAAATCAACCGAAAAAAAACAAACTAAAGCTATATGCGCATTCTATAAAACTCAATTTTTATTAAGGGGAAACATTGAAGGATTTTTTTTTTTTTTTAATTCTATTAAGTTTTGGGATTAAAACAGAGCTAAAAGTTTTAAAATAAAAAAATAATTAAAAAACCAGAAGCATTCCTTGTAATTTGCAATCACTTAATTCGAGCATTGTAATTTGCAATCACTTAATTCAAGCCTTGTAATTTGCAATCACTTAATTCGAGGATTGTAATATATAAGATTACTTAAATTTAATTTAAAACCAAAACTTTTAAAAACAAAAAAAAACAAAAAACAAAAAAAAAAAAACAAAAAAAAAAACAGTAAAAACAAAAACAAAACATTTACATATAAAAAAATGCAATAATAGAGTACTTTAAAATATTTAAAATAAGATCAGGTTTAGTTGGAGAAAATATGAAATTCAATTGTCTACAATTGTCTACAATTGAAATTCAATTGTCTACAAATTAAACATTGAAAAGTTAAACATGATTTTACATGGTAACCATGTACATCCAAAATGCTATGATTATAAAACAATATCTATAATTTTTAGTAAAAAAATATTTGTAGACTTTAAACTTAACAAAAACATTGACAGCTTTTTATTAATTAAAGCAATAATTAATGTTTTATGGCTAAAATTCAAGACAGATGGCAATTAAAATTGTCAATGTGTTGCAGCATGCGTTAAAAAGCATATTATATTTAACATTTACTAATTTATGTCCTGCTTGGCACATTTACATAAAAACCTGTCTCTTAACATCACAAATCGAATAACTACCAAAGTTGACAATAAAATGTTTTCATTAAACAATTTTAATTTTAAAGTTGTCTCAATAATGCTACACTATTTTGCAATTTTGACCAAAAATTTTTCAATTTTAAAAATAAAATAAGCATTACAGTTTTACAAAATAAATTTCATTAAATATATTCTCGCACGATTATATATAAATTTTGAGAATATTTGTACCCAACGAAAAGTTTAACAAATAAATGCTGCTAAATAAACTTTCATAAGGGTAAATAATACAAAATAATTTTTTAACAAAATCTTAATAAGGATAATAATCATTTAATAACAACAATTATAACAAACAAATAATTAATAGAAATAGACAAGCATAAAATATCTGAAATATTTTATTCATATTTTTTATGTGAACTTTGTAAAAATAACTATAAAATAAAAATTAAAAAAATTCTATAATAATTTATGATATATATATATATATATATATATATATATATATATATATATATATATATATATATATATATATATATATATATAAATATTTTATATAATAATAAGTAATTTAAAAAATTCTTTAGTAATCTATAATGATAAAAAAAACTATAATTTGATTTAAAAAAAAGAATTTTTAGATATCAAAATTCTACAATGATGTCATATACGAAAACTGAAATTAAACGCGCTTGAATAAATTATTAATTCTGTGTATTGCAGCGTATATTTTAAAGACTTAAAGCAACTGGCTAACATGAAAACCACGACCTTTAAGTAAAACAACAAAGTTTTTCTTAATATACGTTTATTATTTTATTTTACTCAAAAAAAAATCAGCCCAAACATTTTTATAATCATTCTTTTCAATATGAACACAACTTATCACGGCACTTTGTGTTCGCTTTAAATAGAAAAAAACTTTAAAGAAATAAAAGATTTAATAATCTCATAATCCTTTATATATTAAACTAATAATAGAGAATAGACTAATTGCAGGATAGTTAGAAAGGTCAGTGTGCTTTCTAGAGTTTTTATAAAAATTGGAACCACAGCAATTTAGTAACAATTAATAGCTTAGCAAGAATTAAAGGGAGCTTTGGAAAACACTTTAGTCAGACTATTCAGGCTTGGTCGGGAAGCGGGAGCGATCGCTCTCGATTGCTGACCACGTAAATAATATTTAGTTGCGAAAAGCTGGCCAGATTTTTAGTAGTTTTGAGAACATTTTAAAATTATTTATTAGATTAATTGGACCGATGTGAGACAATTACAAAAAAAAAAAAAGTAGGCAAATAAAATATCTTTAAACGTGAAAAAACTTTAAGCTAAATAAATTACATTTAGAATAAATATTTACGAAACATCGCTTTTTTATAATTTTTTTTTATAAAATTAAGCGATGTTTTTTATATAAAGTAACAACTTACGATTGTTTAAAAGGGAAACAAATATTCTTTATTTAACTTTTTCCAAGTTTTAGTTTTACTTAAGCTTAATTTATTTTATAAATAAAAAAGTTAATTTTTTTAATACCTATTTTATGTTTCGCGTAGTTTGAAAAGTTTAACATATTTGAAGCGATTCTTCTTAGTAAGATAAACAAATGAAATAATTAAATCATTGAATTACTATAGGAATTAAATTATCAAGATAGAAATCAACTAAAAAGGTTAAAAATACGTAATGACCAGGAAGCGAAACTGCTTTACAATATCGCTGATGATCTTTAGTGAGTGGGTTTTTAATTTTAATTAGTATTTAAAGCAGAAAAAAGTATAACGAGTTTTAAGAATGGCAACTTAAGAGAAAATAATTAGAGTTAGTAAACCAATATCTAGAAACTTTTCTTTATATCTAATTATTTGCTATTATATATTTGTGTTCTGTCGTGACTTCAGAAGCGATGCTTGTTCATCCTCGAGTTACTTTGTATGCGTTGTTTGCGTTAAGTAACCAGAAACTTCTTATATCTTAGTTACATAATTAGTTTTATTAACTTAAACGATTATAACTTCATTAAAAACGCAATTATTTTTGTAAGTCTTTGTTCATATTCATAAAAATTGCTTTAAAAGATACATTACGATAAAAAACAAATACACAAAATTACGTTTACATAAAGAATACAATCTCTTTTAAAATAAAAAATAAGAATACACTAATAAAATCTATGATTTATAATAAACTTTTAAAATTTTAACAATTTAATTAATATATATTTAAAACATTTATTTTCGTACAAATAATATATATTCTTTAATAATATATATTCTTTAAATAATATATATTCTCTCTAACAAATAATATATATTCTTAAAACAATACTAGAAATCTCAAAACGTAACAAATCGTGAATAATACAATTTCTAAAACATTTTAACAGAATACTCTAGAACTTTATTTCGCTTAATCAGTGTATTTTTTGAACCAATAGAATTAGTTTGTTTGTTAATTTGGCGGGTTTTTAGTGTTCACAAATATTATTTTTATTCTTTCGCACGAAGATAATCTGAGAACATTCTAGTTTATTACGTTTCCATGTATGTCCGTAAAACAAAAATTCTTTGTTTCGTACATAAACTTTAATTTTCTCAAAACGACTAAAAAACCTGGCCAGTTTTACGCAACTAAATATAATTTCCGTGGTCAGTATTCGAGAGCGATCGCTCCCGCTTCCCGACCAAGCCTGACTATTATGGAAGTGTGTGAACCACAAGCCACAGAAGAGTCTATTTGAGAATTGATTTTAGCATTGGAAGCCGAAGTGATTTGGATGCCTAACAATCTTATTAAATTTGAATATAAATTAAATGTTTTTAATATTCTATTTTCTAACTTTTTTTTTTTAATTTAATTTTAAGTATACTGGTTTTATTGTAATTTTTTTTATAGTGATTTTTGTAACTTTAAAGATTCTTGAACAGTATATATCTTTTATTAAATTGCTTTTAGTTTCTCTTTGCTTGCGATATTATTTTACTTTTTTATTATTATTTTAAGCTATTTTTTTATGTAATAACAGTTTCCAGTTTGTTTTAAATTGGTCATACAACAAGTTATAAGCATATTTATATAAGTATTTTGTTTAATAAGTGACTTATTACAATAAGTTCTAGGTTAATATTTCACTCTAGATGTATTACTTCCATTTTAAATTTATAATTAATTTTTAGATCTCTTAAACTTTAAAAGTTGTAGTAATGTCAAAACGATCTGAAGTTTGGAACCATTTTAAGATAAATGAAAAAAATAGGGATAAATATTTCTGTAAGCATTGCAGTAAACAACTAGGATGTAAAGGATCTCTACAATGCCATTTCTTAATCATAAAAAAACCTAAAAAACCATCCCCACCACCTAAATATTTTAATATATCTTTTACAAATATTCGCGGTCTACGAAGCAACTTTCCATCAGTTGAGTCTTACCTCCTGCAAAATTCACCAGACTTGCTTGCACTTAGTG